TTAAATGGAGTTAAGTCTTTCCAGAATAACCTCTACAAGCTGAAAGCTTCTGGAGAACAAGATGATGTAATGTCAGGGTGTTCCGGATCCACATGTGTGTCTGTCGCCACTGCTAAGGTCACTGAATAAGATAGCTAAAGCATGAGGGTGGTTAATAAACATCACAAAGTAAGGTCCTAATTCCCACAAAGTTTTGACTGACTCAATAAAAACATCATGACTCAAGACTGACTCAAACATAGAAACCAAAAGAAATAAAAGAGTTAGTAAACGACAAAGACCCTCCCCCAGACTTACTTCACAACGTCTCGGTGTGAAAATAAATCAGAGAGAAGATGTAAATAAAAACATAAATATAAATATTTTTGGTTGAGATACTTACCTGCGTGAAACGGGCGTTCCACGAAAATTCTGGGTTCTCCATCGTCTGATCTCCGCCTGGAGCTGCCGTTCCTTTCGGAAGGATAGCTGCTCCGGTTCTGAAACCCAGAAATTTTTGAAGTATCTCGGGTTTTTCTGATTTTTGACCTGAAACTCAACAAACTAAAACCAAAAATAAGCAAAAAGAAAGTCCTAATGATATTTACACTTACCAGTGGGTTGCCTCCCACCAAGCGCTTGGTTTAAGTCACTAGCTTGACTTGGTGATAGGGATCAGTCGGGTTGAGCATGAACGCTTGCTCCAAAACAAGCTCCACAATCAGACATGTTCAGCTTCAATACTCTGCTCAACAACCCTTTTACAGCAGCTTCCCCTTTCTCCTTCAGCTTATGTGTGAGGATAGCTCTGACCTTAGAGAACGGTTTGGAGGTACCTTTGCATTTTACCTCATATTCAATGGAGTGTTCATCACACATGCGAGGTATCAAAGTCATTGTAGGACCACCCTTGATCCTTTTCTTCTGGACTTTTTCTTTTACCCTTGCATTCCCACGAAGTTTCTTGGTATCAGTGTGAGGATCTCCATCTAGGACTTCTTTGATCTCGCTCCTTTCACCCTGTTCTCTTATTCTGGAACAGTGCTCCTTCTTAGGAACGATTTCCAGCTGTTCTGCACAAACCACTGAGATGCAAGAGGCGTATCGGAATTGTGACCTGGTTGGGACAGTCTTGTAGAAAGTCTTCTTGTTGATGTTAGAGAAGGAGACTCTCTTATTAGGCAGGTCAACGATTGCTCCCACTGTAGCCATAAATGACCTTCCAAAAATCAAAGGCATTTCATGATCTTTGCTCATCTCAACAATTTCAAATTCAGCATGCAAAATACAATCCCCAACTTGGACAGGAAGGTTGCGAATGGTGCCATAAGGGACTGCTCTGGAGGAGTTAGCAAAAGCCAGATTCACCTGAGAAGGCTCAACATCCACAATGCCCAACTCATCTACAATCGCCTTTGAGACAAGATTCACACTAGACC